CAGTGGCTACAAAAGCAGGTCAGGAGCTGGGAATACTGCGGCCAGTAACTCACCTCCTGACTCCCAAAGCCTGTCCACCATCTACAAGGCACAAGTCAGGAGTGTGATGGAATACTCCCCACTTGCCTGGACGGGGGCGGCCGAAACAACACTCAAGAAGCTTGACACCATCCAGGACAAAGCAGCCGCTTGATTGGCACCACATCCACAAACATCCCAGTCCCTCCACCACCGACGCTCAGTAGCAGCAGTGTGTACTATCTACAAGATATACTGCAGAAATTCACCAAAGATCCTCAGGCAGCACCTTCCAAACCCACTACCACTTCCATCTAGAAGGACAAGGGCAGCAGATACATGGGAACACCACTCTCTGCAAGATCCCCTCCATCCTGACTTGGAAATATGTTGCCATTCCTTCACTGGGTCAAAATCCTGGAATTCCCTCCCGAGGGGCATTGTGGGTCTACCTACTGCAGCGGTTCAAGAAGGCAGCTCACTACAACCATTTCATGAGCAACTAGGAATAGGCAATAACTGCTGGCCCAGCCAGAGACACACGCATCCCACAAATAAATTTTAAACATATTATGAATAGCTGGGGTCCTAGCACTGATCACTCTGGTCCTCCATTAGACACTGCCTGTCAGTCAGTGAAATACCCGTTTATTCCTATTATTTGTTTTCTGTCTGCCACCAGTTTTCTCTCCATTTCAATACACGCCCCTCCCAATCCCAGGGGCTTTTTGAATGTCCAAGTACATGACTGAAGACCTGAAACTACTGAAGGCTGAAAGACTTGCTGAACAGAGCAATTCTGGGATTCTGTGAGCCCTGTACCCCAGTGAGAGTCAGTGTGTGTGTGGGACTCTGTATCCCAGTGAGAGTCAGTGTGTATGTGGGACTCTGTATCCCAGTGAGAGTCAGTGTGTGTGTGGGACTCTGTATCCCAGTGAGAGTCAGTGTGTGTGTGGGACCCCGTACCCCAGTGAGAGTCAGTGTGTGTGTGGGACTCTGTATCCCAGTGAGAGTCAGTGTGTGTGTGGGACCCCGTACCCCAGTGAGAGTCAGTGTGTGTGTGGGACTCTGTATCCCAGTGAGAGTCAGTGTGTGTGTGGGACCCCGTACCCCAGTGAGAGTCAGTGTGTGTG